GAGTTCGATTCCCGGTACCGGAGAAAAACCAAAAAACCAGAACTCCCTTTGCTGTGGAAGGGAGCTCAAAAAAAAAAAAAAAAAAAAAAAAAAATCAGTCACTGTACTTATAAGGAACCTAGAGTAGACAAATTTAAACAGACAACATAGACATCTATAGACAGCCACATTAGATAGAAATTAATAAGGATGAGCCCTCAAGGGAGTACTGCAGAAATGAAAACAAAACTGTGGCTGGAGGCCCATCTGAAGAAGGCCAGGACTCAAGATGGAGACACAATGGCCAGGCCTGCACGCCTCCCTAAAAGATAAACAGCAACTTGGGCATTATTCTTTCCTTGTCAAAGAATGATGGTGGCAGAGTTGCAAGAAAGAGGTGTTAGTGTTTAGTGACTATAGAGTTTCAGTTTTTCATGATAAAGAGTTCTGATAATTGATGGTGGTTATGGATGCAAAACAATGGATATATTAAATTGTAATTAAATTTTTAATGGTAAATGTCAATTGTATATTTATTTTACCAATATTTTTTTTTCCAGTACTGGGAATCAAACTCAGGACCTTGCGCTTGCCAGGCAGGCACTGTGCCACTGAGCTAAATCCCCAGCCCTATTTTACCAATATTTTTAAAGCTCTTAAAAAATTGCTTTTCCCCGGGTTAATAAGCAAACAGTTCAGTGTAGGTAAGCAAACAATCTGTGTTACTAATAATAATGATTGAGGCTGGGGATTTAGCTCAGCGGCAAAGCGCCTGCCTGCCAAGCACAAGGTCCGTGAGTTCGATTCCTGGTACCGGAAGAAAAACAAAACAAAACAAAAAAAATTCTTAATAATGATTGACCTAATTCTTTTACATTCTGGTTATTTCCGGGGTAGTGAGCAACATCTCTCTTTACGTACAAATAGAATCTAGAGCCCAATTTAGTTTAATGTCCCTACCCTCCAGTTTACTAAATCATATCTACTTGATTATGATAATTTAGCTGATAATTTAGTTGATCAATCATATACAAACTTTTGTAAGGAATACATTGTACTATATTAATTCAAGGAGTGTTAAGGCATGTATGAATGTTTAACTCTGAGAATTTTGTGCTTTGTTCTGTTGTACAGTACAAGGTCTGCTGAAACATTTTACTTGAAATTCTCACTAAAACTCCTTAATAAAGGCAAATACAGAGTCTTCAATTGATTTGGCAGTGAAAGGGCTTCTCTTAGACAAACTGGAAACACTCATAATAAGAACTTAATGAAAATAGTCTTGCTCCCCAGAGATATATTTTTGATATGGTGCCAGAGGGAATCAAACCACCTATTGTTATATGCCCGATTTGTGTATTTGAGACATCTATAAATGCCCTTCTCTGGAACCTCAACTAAGACTTCCAAACAGGCCTACAGATCTCGATTAATATTGAAAATATTGTGGGTATGATGCTATGTGCCTGTAATCCCAGAGTTCAGGAGGCGGCGAGGCAGGAGGATCACTGAGAGTTTAGAGACAGTTCAGGCTACAGAGTGAGGTCAAGACCTGCCTGAACTACAAAGCGAGACCTTGTCTCAAAAAACAAAACAAAACAATTTAAATTATTGAGAATATTCTTTCAAACGTTTGAAAGGCAGAAAAAATAAAATTTGCGTTCTTTACAGAAATTTGCAAGCTTTTACTGTTATTAAGGCTCAGAGTTTCAAATTAGTGGACGCATCATGTTTCATAAACTCAGAAAAAATAATCATTGGTTTACAGTCTAGGCATGATCTGTAGCTTCATTATTCTAATAAAAAACTAAGTATCCTGTGCACTTTATATTATTCCATGTTCACACAAACCTATGAAATATTCTTTATTCCTGTTTTACAAAGAAGGAGGTTTTCAGACAGAACCCACACAGTCTAAGGGTAATAAAATGGGTCTGCTGCTCTAGTCTTCAAAGTCAACCGTCTTCACCTGAAATTCACGGGAAGTAACGCTGTTAGCCAATCTCGAGAAACCTCGCGATATTGCAGAAACTACAATTCCCAAAATGCAAGACGGTACTCTGCTTCAGTCTCGGTTGCGAGTCTGAACGGCTCCAGCATGCCTTGAGGCGCGAAAGGCAACCTGGGAGTGGTAGTCCCTCTGGGCGCCGGCCGGAATCGCCAGCGCGGCAGTGGCGGATTGAGCGGCTCCAGCGGGAGGACCTGTTAGGGCTGAGGCGGAGAAAGGGCGTGGAACGGAAAGGGTGAGTCAGGCAGTGTCTGTGCGATAAAAGGAGACTGGACGGCGGCGTAGGTGTGAGTTGAGGAAGTGCGGCCAGTGCCGCAGTCCGTTCTGGTCACCGCTATCCTCTGGCGGTGGAAGGGTAAGGAGGAGCCGGGCGCCCGCAGCCGTCCCGCCCTCGGCGTCCGGCCGCCATATCTAGCATGCAGTCCCGGGAAGACGGCCCGCGCTCCCGCCGCCTCGCCAGTCCCCGCGGTGGGAGGCGGCCCAAGAGGATCTCCAAGCCTTCGGTTTCGGCCTTTTTCACGGGCCCAGAGGAACTGAAAGACACAGCGCATTCCGCAGCCCTGCTCGCACAGCTCAAGTCCTTCTACGACGCACGGCTGCTGTGCGATGTGACCATCGAGGTGGTGACGCCTGGCAGCGGGCCTGGCACTGGCCGCCTGTTTTCCTGCAACCGCAACGTGCTGGCCGCCGCGTGCCCCTACTTCAAGAGCATGTTCACAGGGGGCATGTACGAGAGCCAGCAAGCGAGCGTGACCATGCACGATGTGGACGCTGAGTCCTTCGAGGTGTTGGTTGACTACTGCTACACGGGGCGTGTGTCCCTGAGCGAGGCCAATGTGCAGCGCCTCTATGCGGCCTCTGACATGCTTCAGCTCGAATATGTCCGCGAAGCCTGTGCTTCTTTCTTGGCTCGCCGCCTGGACCTGGCCAACTGCACTGCCATCCTCAAGTTTGCTGACGCCTTTGACCATCACAAGCTCCGATCTCAGGCCCAGTCATTTATAGCTCACAACTTCAAGCAGCTGAGCAGAATGGGTTCGGTTCGGGAGGAGACTCTAGCAGATCTGACCGTAGCCCAGCTGCTGCCCGTTCTGCGCCTGGACAGTTTGGACATAGAGAGTGAGAGGACCGTGTGCCACGTGGCTGTGCAGTGGCTGGAGGCAGCTCCCAAAGAGCGAGGGCCCAGCGCAGCGGAAGTCTTTAGATGTGTCCGCTGGGCACACTTCACTGACGAAGACCGGGACTACCTGGAAGGGCTGCTGACCAAGCCCATTGTGAAGAAGTACTGCCAGGACGTTATTGAAGGGGCCCTGCAGATGCGCTATGGTGACATGCTGTACAAGTCCCTGGTGCCAAAGACAAATAGCACCAGCAGCAGAGGCAGCAGTAGCTGTACTAGCAGCAGCAGCAGCAGCAGCAGCAGCTGTGTTGTAGCTGTAGCTGATAATTTACCCCAGAGATTAGGTATGTGTGCCAAAGAGATGGTAATTTTCTTTGGACATCCCAGAGATCCTTTTCTCTGCTATGACCCATACTCAGGGGACATTTATACAATGCCATCACCTTTGACCAGCTTGGCTCACACTAAGACTATCACCTCCTCAGCTGTTTGTATCTCCCCAGACCATGATATCTATTTAGCTGCCCAGCCCAGAAAAGACCTGTGGGTGTATAAACCAGCCCAAAATAGTTGGCAACAACTGGCAGATCGATTGCTGTGTCGTGAGGGCATGGATGTGGCATATCTCAATGGTTACATTTACATTTTGGGTGGCCGAGACCCTATTACTGGAGTTAAATTGAAAGAAGTGGAATGCTACAGTGTTCAGCGGAACCAGTGGGCTCTGGTGGCTCCTGTACCCCATTCCTTTTATTCCTTTGAACTGATAGTCGTTCAGAACTACCTTTATGCTGTCAACAGTAAGCGCATGCTGTGCTATGATCCTAGTCATAATATGTGGCTGAACTGTGCATCTCTGAAGCGAAGTGAATTTCAGGAAGCCTGTGTCTTCAATGATGAGATCTATTGTATTTGCGACATCCCAATTATGAAGGTCTACAACCCAGCCAGGGGGGAATGGAGACGGATTAGCAATATTCCTTTGGATTCAGAGACCCACAACTACCAGATTGTCAATCATGACCAAAAGTTACTGCTTATTACTTCTACCACCCCACAATGGAAAAAGAACCGGGTGACTGTGTATGAATATGATACTAGGGAAGACCAATGGATTAATATAGGTACCATGTTAGGCCTTCTGCAGTTTGACTCTGGTTTCATTTGTCTCTGTGCTCGGGTTTATCCTTCCTGCCTTGAACCTGGTCAGAGTTTCATCACTGAAGAAGATGATGCACGAAGTGAGTCCAGTACTGAATGGGACTTAGATGGATTTAGTGAGCTGGACTCTGAGTCAGGAAGCTCCAGTTCTTTTTCTGATGATGAAGTCTGGGTACAGGTAGCACCTCAGCGTAATGTACCGAATCAGCAGGGTTCTTTATAAATATTTTGAAATACTATGATGTTTTAGTTGATTAGGACTGCAGATTTGGTTGAAAAGGGGTATTTTGAAATATTAATGTACAAAGTTTGGTCTCTGACAACAACCCATTTAATAATTTGCTCTCTTAAAAGTCTAAAGTTAAAATATGCAAAAAAATCCTGCATAATTAGGATGCTTGTTGGGTTTTTTCTTTTTTTTTATTAATATGTTTGTTTTTGCCTTGAGTTAGTCTGCTAATTTTTAAATTCTGTTCAGTGCCACAGAGAATTTAACTTTCAAATTTGTGTGATAATAAACTGGGAATTGTTGATAGGATTTTGAAGGTGTATATTTTCCTTCAGAATAATGAAGATTTACAAAAGTTTTAGTTTTTAGTAGTCTAAGTTAAATATAGTTTGTTAAAATTTAGTTTGCTTTTCTAAAAAAGAATTTTGGATATATGTATTCAGATTACTTACTAGTGACTTTATTTTGATAATGTGTGACTGGCCTTACAAGATCACATCAATTTTTTAAAAATCACGATTCCATTGTTTTAAAGGAATTTCAGTTTTTGTTTTGGAATATACAATATGTGTTTGCTAAATGTAGCCAGTTTTCAGTCTTGAAAAAAATCCATTCTAGTAGTGTCACCAATTTTAAGCACCCTTCTAAACTAAAAACCAAACAAACTTGCTTTGTAAGTTCATATGGATCTTTACCTGATACGTCTTTCACTGACTCAGATGAAGTACACTTTTTTCACTAGATATGTAATTGGGTAATATAAATCTTTATCCACTGGTCATTCCTTGTCTTAAAGTTTACTTGCACCCTTAAAATATTTTGGGTATGTAGTTTTAGTGCTCATTTTAGAAGATTCTTTAGCAAGAAGTGATTTATTCTTTACTGTTTTTGTGAGGTTTTTTTGGAAAGATAAGCTAAAAATTATATTTTATTGAGATTAGTAGTTACAGTGTCTACCAACTCTAAAATCAAGTGCCCGCAAAGAACTTTAAAACTAAGCTGTGTATAGAAACTGTTTTGTTTAGCATTGAAATATTGCCAGTTTTGTAAGTCACTATAAATGTTCTTGATTATCAACTCGCAAGTATTTTTGTATAAAAAGTTGATAGTTAAAGATCATAAATGGGTAATGGCATTTGGGGCCAATAGTGAAAATACATTTCCTCAAAAATACTTCCCTAAGGAGTGATATACATGGTTATTTTATTATAGTATTTGTTTCTGTTTTGTGTTCCTCTGTGAAGTTATTCCAGTTTTGGTTTCTTTCACCATATGTAAGGTTAAATCCAGAAATAAAGACTAAATTACACAAAACTGACAGTTAATACAAAATAATATAGGTGCTTACCTTTTGAAGGTTTGTTAATACATAAAGTTGTCATAATACATGTACTTGATAGATGGTATACATATACAGATGTTGATGGTGTATAAATTTTCTATACCCACATAGAACTATCTTCCTGAATCTTTGTTCAGTAACATGCCAGTTCCTTTTTATTCTCCTCTAGTGACAGAATGCTAATATTTCTTATACTCTAGCAGAGGAATCTGGTCCCGATGAAGTGAATTTTTGAATGAGAAAGAGGGAAAGAAAAAAGATAACAACAAAAATATTCCACAAATAATGCATTCTTCATCATTTTGATTGGCCACTTGAAGAGTCTACAAGATGTTCCTCTTTAACATTATTTCTAGAGAAATAAGATGCCTGCCTAGCGGTACGTATTCCTTCAAAAGAGTAGACATGCTACCATGGCCTGAGGTTGGTTTTGTTTGATTTGCTATCTGGGATATTATAAGCACTGTTTTTAACATAGACATGTATTTCTCAGTGGTATTCCATATGGGCCAATTTTTCTTCATTAACTTCCATTGTTAGGTTATATTCGATAAGGTTGAACTGTAACAATATTTATCTCAACCAGATTATTTATCTGCCAGTTAAGATCTGTAACTGATGTATAAAAGACAAATCCTTCAATTTGTCTCAAGGTTTGAGTTAAAGTCTAGGCTAAATATTATTATTTTGGTTTACAGTGAGGATTTTGGTTTTGTGATATATTTGTGAATTAGGGAATAGATGTTAACTATTATTTTATAGATAAGTGATTTGTACATGGTTATAAATAAAACTGGTACTAAATCTCAGGCTTCTTGACTTTCTAACTCAGTGGTTCTGTTAAATGTATAAAACCTTGTTTAACATAACCAGCAGTGCTGAAACCTCTTCTTGACAAGAAAGCACCTTTGTCTCAGTTTTCTAATTAATCAGCACATCTTGTAGCAAATGTTTAATATGACGTATTTTAGGGTAGTGATTTATATGATTTAGAATGTCTCCTGTAGTTGTTAGGGTATCTGGATCATAATGGAGATTGAGTCATTCCCCAGGAAAATTTGCATTTATATTTTGCTAATTTCAAGGAAGTTCATCCACAAACCCAGGTTAAGATCACTTGTGACATATTTTTCATGAGACATAGTTCACATGTTGACTAGGGGACAGAGCAACATATTCCTATAACAGAGCTAAAGAAATAATAGATGTTCACTATCTGAAAGAGATGTAAAAATTAATGACTACCTCAGAGCAAAAGTAAAGTTGACATTTCTGAAATTCGCATTTGTTCATCGTAACATGTTACTGAATGTAAATGATTTAAAGGAAGAATAAAGTGAGTTATGTATATAAATTATAGGCTTTGGAGCTTACATGTTATACATATTTAAATGATATATTGTCCAAGAAGGCTGTGTGTGCTAGGTGTGGTGGCATGCACCTGTAATACCAGCACTTTGGGGGCTGAGGCAGGAGAATCACAAGTTCTAGGCCAGCCTGGGCTACACAGTGAGCTCAAGGACAGCCTGAACTGCAGAGCAAGATCCTGTCTCAAAAAAAAAGCTGTGTGTATATATTGAATTTTAAAGTAAAAAATATGGTTCAGATGTTTGACACTGCTGACAGTATGGCTGCTTACTAGAAATGCATGTAAGTGGCAAACGTTTAATACTTAGCAAGAAAAGATGGTTGGAAGAGGGCATCTTAGCAAAAGGAATCTATTCAAAATGTAGTAAAAAGGTCCATTTTTTCATCAGTGCTCATTAAACCAGAAGTCAGTGCTTTGCCTGATTTCATTTTTACCAATTTGTGCTGAAATGAGGGGAAAAAATATAAAACATGAATGTGTTGTGAAACTAAAATTATTCAGTTGGATTTATCTTAATGTTCATAAATTTGAAATGTAAAACATTTGCACACTATTTCAGGCCCTTTAGTTGGCTGGTTTTTTCTATATTCTAAATCTCATTAAGTATGTACATCTGCATTCTGCTTTGAATTTCAACTCTTGGGATCATTTTATGTTGCTTGCTTATTAGTGTTATTTGGCATCTGTCCTACTAATGAATGTCTATATCTTTAAAAATTAAATATCTTTTTAATCTTTACAGCTAACTGAAAGTATATTTATGATAGCAAATGTGATGAAACAAAGTATTGGGCAAAATGATAGAATATGACTAGCAATCCCAAGATATATAGTTGATAAGCTGTTTTTAGAGCCATCTAGTGGATTAAATATGTACAAACCTTTTTTTTTTGGTGCTGGGAATCAAACTGAGGACCTTATACTTGCCAGGCAGGTGCTGTGCTGCTGAGCTGTATCCCCAGCCGTCTACAAACTTTTTAAATGAACAACAATATACTGTTCACTGAAGTTGCCAAGTATGAGGAGTACCATAGGCTGTTTTTTGTTTTGTTTTGCTTTTTTTTTTTTTTTTTTGTAGAGAGGATTAAACTATGGGTCTTCACACTGGCCAGCACCCCCACCTTTTTTTCTTTTCCTTCCTTTCTCTTCTTCCTCTTCCTCTTTTTTTTTTTTTTTTTTTTTTTTTTAATTTTGAGATAGAATCTTGCTAAATTGCTCATGGTAGGCTCCAACTTGCAGTCCTCCCGGCTCAGCCTCCCACAGTGCTGGGATTACAGGTGTGTGCCACTACACCTGGCTAGCTAATAGGTTTTGTGCTTTCTCCTTGACTCTGGGTTATTTTGTAACTAGATCTGTTTCTCTTAACATTGTGGACTCATCATGGCTCAAGGTACAAGGCAGGTAGGGAATAGATACTGTTGCATTCATTCCTTCCATATCTGAGAATTTTTCTCTCCTCTCTTCACTCCTATGGCGTCAACCTTTACTTTCACCTCAGTTTTAGCTGCCTGGAACAACTATATGTTAATCAGGAATATTCTTTTGGGAGCATACTTTTAATTAATTTTGGAAAAAGTAGGGAAGAGCAGTGGCTGTCATTTCAAGGCAAGTCCTAATCCAGGGTTTTATTGTCGTTAGGGCTTGCTTTATAGAGAGGTGATACGGCATAATGTTTTCTCTCACCTCAAATATTGGGACCTAGGTATAGATCTATACACAAAAAAATCTATAATTGTTTAAATAAGTTACAAATTTCTCTTACAAAAATCCAACCCATTATTTGGATCCTGATCTACAAAGACATGTGAAATCCAGGATATTCTGTTTTCATTTACTATACTTAAGTATTAGCTTGTTCCACAGATGCTTCACTCTCATTTCCACATCCCTGCCATTAGCAAGACAGGAATGGGACTGGGAGGGCTTGACCCTGTCCCGTAAGGGAAATGGACATACTACTTTCGGTCATGCAGTGTTGGTCAGATTTAAACTACGTGGCTGTCCCTAGCTGAGAGGACTTTGTAGAGAGATAGTCTTTATTGTGGATCAGTGTGTACTAAATTAAAATTCAGAGTTTCTTTCTTGTAAAATACTGAGGAAGGATATTGAGGTATAAATAGCATTTTTTACTGCATCTGTCAGGCTGGGTTTTATCATTACAGCAGCCGAAGTGATGCCAGGACTGCTAAAACACACGTTCTGCCAGCTTAGAAAACCCAGTGGAAAGAGGCAGTATTTTATTTTCTGGGGGATGTGGGCTAGGACCCTGAATAGCCAAGTTTGGTCACCTGTAATAGATGAAATTAGGAAGTGTTGAGAAGACCAGTAGGTAAGAAAATAACCTCAACAAAGTTTACAGTTCTTATTGTGGCAGATTGTACCAAGATGGAAATTGTATGGAGACATGAGAGCTCCAGAGCAAGGGAGGTGCAGGGTGCAGCATGTATTTTGATAGGAATTGATCTTAGAATGGGAAGAGTACCTTGGTATGGGAGCAAGTTGGAAGCTGGTTGGCATCAGATCTTGAAGGCCTTGTCTGTTGTGGGGCGTTCGTCCTCTCTTCGTTTCTGACTCATTCTCTCTCCCTCTCTCCCTCACCCTTTGCATACAATGTGCATTCATTGAACATTTTAAAGCAGGGACTTCACATTATCTGTTTTATCAAGTCTGTTCTGAATATATTGACAGTGCCAGGCTTGTGGGGGCAAGAGCAATTGAGAATGTTGTTACACTTGAAAAAGTGAATTATGGGAACCTCAATAAGGGCAGCAGTTGTTGGCTCGATGAAGAAGAAACACACATAAGTGGGGATAAATTGATCTGGACCTCTAATTATGTTTGGAAATGAGGGAATTGTAGGGAGCATGAAAAAGAAGGACTACAAGCTATTTCCCGGTTTTCTTGCCTGGCTATTGTATTGAGCCATAGGTAAAGAATCCATACCAGGCAAGCCCTAAAATGTAGGACAGCAACTTTTTTTCTACATTCACTCAGAAGTGAGCAGTTGAGTAATGGCAGAGTGGTTCTGCCCTATTAAAATTTTACATAGGCTGAGATCTTTTGTTGTTTTTCCTCACAACTCCTAGTAAGTTGTCTTCATCTTCATGGGTGCAGCTATAGTAAAATATCATAATAAAAATTCATAGATGATCACTCAAGACCATGAGTTTGAGACCAACCTAGGCAACAAAGTAAGACCTGTGTCAGTATTGATGATGATGCTTCAGTTAGTAGTTGTGTTTCCTCCCTTACATTATTTCTATTAAAAGAAATGGTGAGACTCCATCCTTTATTCTTCACTGTACTAAAGCTCATATATCCTTAAAGGCAAGATTTAGGGCATATATATATATATATATATATATATATATATATATATATATATATATATGGGCCCTATATATATATATATATATATATATATATATAAAACAAATAAATAGGGATAAATTGACCTGTAGCTCTATGTTTGAGCGACAAGGTGCTTCGTGGTGTCCTGTACTGGGAGTCCTCTGTCTGGTAACAGGGTCTGTTGCTTGCTCTCTGTAATGCCTTTCTCACATGCCAAAATTGTTGCTCTTCAGTTTTTTCCTCTTTAATATGTCTTCTCCCCTACACTGTGTACTCCATCATGGAAGGGACTGCATTTATCTTTTTCACCAGTTTCTAGAATGGTGCCAGGTATGATAGTGCTCACAAACAAGTAAATAAATGTGTTTCATGCTTGTTTGAATTTATAAGAGAAATGCCTGCATTTATAGCTCTTACTTAATGAGATTTACAGTTTTGAGGGGGAGGAGCTATACCTTTTTTTGGTTGTTGTAGCAACCTACTGGCCTTTAGAGTTAAAAGTTCTTATATACTCATTTTCCCACAAGATCAGTATTTTTAATTAAGGGATAGTGATGCTATTATGAATCACATTTCTCACATGAAAGAAACTATTAAGAGGTTTTCTCTTTATTTTTTATGGAGGTAGCAGAGAATTTAAAAGCAAAATCTATTCAAGCCAGTACATGCCTTGAAAAACAAATCATTTAAATCTGACCATGTGACCGCATCTCCACTCTGAAGTGGAGACTCCCGTATTTCCTCCAAGTACTCCAGTCGTTCCACATGCACCTGTTAACTGTATTGGTTTTGCCATCCAAGTTGTTAGGGCAGTTTTGAAAGGTAATTGCTAAAAAGCAATCTGAAGAGTTGTGTTACAGCCATTTACTTCCTTTTTTTCTCCTGTTACTTGTTGCTTAAATTTGATGTTACATTAGCCAATTATAATCATCTCATAAAAATTGAGATTTTTCTCTGAAAAGATTCAACATAAGCTACTTCCTTATTGTTCCTACCTCCCACACCCTCATTTTGTAGGGACTGGAGCTTAAAAGTAATTTTATTGAATTAGTCTCATAACCTTATCTAAAAAAGGTTACATTGCAATTAGTTCACTCTTGGGCTTTTTTTTTTAACAGTTGTAAAAGCAATAATTAGCCAGGCATGGTGGTACATGCCCATAATCCCTTCACTCAAGGAAACTAAGGCAGGAAGATAACAAGTTCAAGCCCAGCCTAGGCAATTTAGTGACTCAGCAACAACTCAGCAACAATTTTATGCCTCAAAATAAAACATTTTTAAAAAAGAAAAGGAAGAAAAAAAGCTAGGGATATAGCTCAGTGCAAAGACCCTGGATTCAACCCCCAGTACCAAAATAATAATAATAGTAATAATAATAATAATAATAATAATAATAATACCTACTTTAATATATTTAGCTTTTTTTTTTCTTGGTGCTGAGAATCGAACTCAGGACTTGGCAGTTGCCACTGTACTGCTGAGGTATATCCCTGGCCCACCATTTCAAAAATACATAATGAGGATGCTGTCAAGACTACAAAGAGAAAGATGAGGGACCATGTTTAGAAATAAGAGTCAGGATTGAAGATCTTGATATTAGAACCCGGGGCTACTTTAATTTATATATTTGTAAGGATTTTATTTTAGTCTTCTAGAAATTTCCATTTTCAGAATTCTTTTAAATAAACAGTGATACACCACTGGTTGAATATCAGACCTCTAACACAGCTAAATCTAGATA